CCATAATTCGTGCCAAAGGTGACCAATTCGAACAAATCTAAACTTATTCTAAAATGTGATGCTATTTCCGACATTTTTTGCTTTCATTCAATAAAATAAAAAAAAATTAAAAATTATAGCGCTTTTTATGACGCATTAGTACGAATTTCCAAAACTACCTACATATCCCAATCTTACACTGCGACATTAATATTATTTTTAGTTTTCAGAATATTGGTTCACCCAAATCCAAAGTGTGCCAAATTTAGTGCTATCCTATACTCCATCAGTAGTCTTAGTTCAAAATTTCAGGACTCCAGCTGTATGGGTTCAACCATATCCAAAGTGTACCAAATTTAGTACATATGAGTACAAATGTCCTACACTACCTACATATCACAATCCTAAACTCCGAGAGTATTTTATTTCCAATTTTCAGGATTTAATACCACCACTTTTCAAATACTACCTACATACCTCAGTCCTACAATGCAATAGTAATCTTATTTCCAAATATCAGGATTCCAATCTTACGGGTTGACCCAAAATTTCAATAGTACCAAATGTTGTACCATTTAGTACACATAGGTACGAATTTCAAAAAACTCCCTACATACCCTCAGTCCTAGAATGCAATAGTAATCTTATTTCTAAATTCCAGAATTTCAGCTATATTGATCCACCCAAATCGAAATTGTACCAAATTTAGTACCATTTAGTACACAAAAGTACAAACTTCGAAAACTTCCTCCATATCCCAATCCTACACTCCGCCAGTGATATTCATTTCAAATCTCAGAATTCCAACTTCATCCGTTCCTCCAAATTCAAATTTGTACTAAATTTAGTACGGTTTAGTTATTTTCCTATAAACGAGTACACACTTCCAAATCTACCACCTTATATTGATTTTACTCCACAACCTTAATTACCATTCCAAATTTGATTACCATTTTTTAGCTCTAACCGTCCACATAATACGAAATGTTTCCAAATGTAGTACATTTTAGTACTTTTCGTACACTGATAGTGATGATTTCCAAAAATCCCTTGGTACATCAATCATACACTTAATCAGTGACCCTCATTCCAAATTTAAGAGTTCTAACTTTACTGCTTCCTCAAATAAAAAAGGATATCATATTAAGTACCTTTTAATACTTTTCGTACCGTTTAGTACGCATTTCTAAAAACACAGCCTTATCCGAGCCCTTTGGACCACGAGTGATCCTCAGGAAAATTTTAAAAATTCTAGCTTTAGCCGTTTCGTCTAGGAGTTGATGAATCATTAAATAAGTCAGTCAATTATTTTTCTATTTTATTTATATAGATGTAGATTTCTAGATAGAATTAGATTATGGCGTCTTAAATGATAATTTCACAAAGTTACAAACATAATGACAACAAATCCATTTCATAACAAATTAATTACAACATGGCAACACTGATATTTATTTTGGTTTAGTTCTCTTTTTACTTCGGTCGGTTGTGGTCTATATTGTGCGTGTCCGCGTCTTGTGAATTGATTTCGATAGTTTGGTAAATGAATACTTGTGTTTTGTTAATAAAATATAAATTTAATGCGTTAATTAAATGAAATTCATAAAAAATTCCTTAAATATTGTCAAAATTGTCATAAATTTGTGCAAAAATTATTCTTGTGTATCGTCTTCTTCTCACGAGAGAGTGAATTGCATTTTTGCTTTGTTGTGTCTCTGCATAGACAAATGAAAATATAGACAACGAAAAGTTAGTTTTGTATTTTTTTCCAGGTGGCTCTCATCATGTTTTGCATAGTAAACATGCTGATTTACGCGTTCAACCCACTCGATTTCGAAAACACATTTTATGGTTTTTCAAGAATTTCACTGGAATATTCCCATATTTTTCGATGTCATCACGTACTTTTCACATTTCTTTTATTATGAAATAATTTTCAACTGGCAAATATCCTACAGTTTTTGTTATTTTTAACGTTTTAGAATTGAGTGACTTCAATATTCCCACTCAAACCCCTGAAACGATATGAACGACATCTGCTGATTCGATTTTTTTCGAAGATAAACGGTGAGAGCATTTCGTTGTCTATATTTTCATTTGTCTATGAATGTTGTTGTCGATTATTTGTATATAGGGTTGTCAATAGTGAGAGTTTAAAGTGAGTAACATGATTTTCTATGCGAGTCTTGTCTCTGAAAGGGCGAGATCTTCTAAAATGATTTTTATTATCCATGGAGAGATATCCGTTGCGTTGGACTTCGCACTTAAAATTTTCGTATTGCATTTTTAAAAGAAAAATCAGTTTTGTGGGAATGACAAGCGAATTAAGAATACTTCGTTCTTTCTTTTTAAAGCAAAGGTTTTTATTTTTATAGGTTTATGAAACACTTCTAAACATGAAGTGCTGCCTCCCAGACCCGTGGAGCTTGTCGCAATTGCGGCGAAATTTGACATACGTCTGTGATCTCCTGGGAGTTTTATTATTATTTTTGCATCTTCCTTTTTATATTCTGATGCTGTCATGATTTTTTTTTCGCGCTTTTGAGCAGAATGTAGAAGAGCCTGACACTCGAAAGTCGTCTAGCATAACTCCATGTGAACTGTGTAGGTTCATCCGCTATCATCTCTACTATCTTATCCAGCGCACATATCTGAAGACCCTATTCCACAATGGTTATACCCTCCACCATAGCATGGAGGGTATATAAAGCGTGTCATTCCGTTTGTAACACCTCGAAACATGCATTTTAGACCCCAACATAAAATTTTATGTCCATTTAGAGATGTCCGTCCGTCTATCCGAATGTGGAATCACTCCAGGTTCCGAACGAAATGAAGTAGGTTGATACAATTTTACTCAAATGTATATAATGTTTGCAGGACTTTTGGTTTTGAAAATGGACCATGGAGGTCTACGTTTTAGTGTAGCCCCCATATAACGATACCTCCCGATATTCGGTACTTTGATGATATAAGAGACATTATTCACCGGGAATGTTTGAAATTTGGTATTTAAAGGTCTTAAGAATGCTACAGCCTATGACAGAAAATTGTCTTTGCAGGCCCACGTCTTCGTATAACCCCCATACAACGGTACCTCCCGATATTAGGTTTTTGATGATTTTAGCGACATTCTTCGTATAGCCTCCATATAACGGTACCTCCAGATATTCGGTATTTTGATGATTTTAGCGACATTTTTTCACCGGAATTGTTTCAAATTTGATATTTGAAGGTCGTAATGGGTACTACAGCCTATGACAAAAAATTGTCTATGCAGGTCCACCTTTTGGTATAGCCCTCATACAAAAGAACCTCCCTATATTCGGTAATTTTAAGATTTTAGCTACATTATTTACCTTTTTTTTCAAATTTCGCATTTGAATTTTGTAAAGGCTTATGACAAAAGTTGCCTATGCAGGCTACATTCGTATACATACGGCTACATTCGGTATTTTTAAGATTTGAACGGAATTTTAAACGGCTTTTATATATATATTTTTTTTTTTTTGAAATTACCAAATTCGTTCCAAATGGTGGAGGGTATTCAAAGTTCATCCGGCCAATTTTACAGCTTTTTTTCTTGTTGTTTTTTTTTTTTTTTTGAAGTTAGATCGTACCGATATATTGGGACCGCTGAAGGTATTTCTTCCATACAACGTTTTCAGGAACGTACTACCCATAATTGGTACATTGAGGACCACGGCATAGTTAATACTGACAATTTTTTTAATGCCCCTTACTGTACAAAGAAAACAGAAACTCATATTTGAATAATTACAACATGGCAACACTAACATTGATTCTAGTTTAGTGCTCTCCTTACTTCTGTCGGTTGTGGTTTATTTCGTGCGTGTCCGCGTTTTGTGAATAGTTTTCGGTAGTTTATTAAATTAAAATATGTCTTTTGTTAATAAAATATAAATTAAATTCGCTAATTAAATGAAATTCATAAGAAATTCTATAAAATTTTAACAAAATTGCCATAAATTTGTGCTAAAGTTATTCTTGTGTATCGTCTCCTTCTCATGAGAGAGTGAATTGCATTTTTGCTTTGATGCCTCTCTGCCGGTAACAAAATGTAAACAAACGTCGACGTCAACGTTCGGGATATTTCGCTGTCGCTGTGGAGTGTTGTTGTGAATGTGTATAGGAATGTGAGTAGTGGAATTTTAAGGTGAGTAACCTGGCTTGTTTTTGTGAGTCTTGTCTGATAGGACGACTGTCATATCTTGCAATTTTTGTCCTATTCTTTCTGTATTTTGTATGGGAAGTCTAAAAATAAAATGTATGTATGTAGATATTTTAATAAGAAAGCCAAAACATCATTGATAATGTAAAATTCGTATTTAAAAGGAAAGCATTGTAGTATTTTTGTCCAAATTTTACTCAAATGTATATTATGTCTGCAGGACTTTTGGTATTGAAAATGGGTCATGTAGGTCCACGTTTTGGTATATGTACCTCCATATTTTCGGTATTTTGGTGATTTAAGCGATATTTTTCACCGCGAATGTTTCAAACTTAGTATTGGAAGTTCGTAATGGATACTACAGTCAGTGATAGGAAATTGTCTTTGCAGATCCTCGTCATCGTATAGCCCCCATATAACGGTACCTCCCGATATTTGGTATTTTGATGATATTAGCGACATTATTCACCGGAATTGTGTAAAATTTGGTATTTTGGTTAGAACGGTAGAGATCGATCCATTCTCTCTGGTACCCTGCCACAAAGGGTCAAAATTTTGAATAACCAAAACGTTTATAAAATCCGAAATAAGCATCAGGTTCCTTTTATATATCAAACCTCCCTTTTTTCCATTAGCAAATGATCCGTTGTGAGGATGGGATATATCTACTTGCTACATTTCAATATTTCCATCAATGGACCATTCATTCTAGTACCTCCATTATGATGTCTTACTCCTTTGGAAGTCTGTTTTTTTATAAATCCTTCATGAAATAAAACCACAATTTATAGATACATAAATTCCTTATAGTAAAATATATTTTGTTCGATATTCAAGTTTTACAAAGTTCTTAACTCATTAACCTATTTTTTCCTTGGTGGCAACCAATTTAAAGCTTCATAAACTGATTAACTGTCATTATTTTAAAATCTTTGGCATTCAGTCGAACGCATTCCTTTGCCTCGAATTCGAGATGAAGAACACAACTCGATGAAGTCATCATAAAACCATTTTTCGAAAATTTATAATGCTTGATGTCGGGGTGATTTTCCAATATTAATTCTATGTAGACAAATATTGCCGGATATTTGGCGTTCAGTGTCAGACTGTAGCTGTTCATTTTGACGTTGACTTGGGAGCTGCAAAATACATTGGAAATAAGGATCTGAAAAAAGAAAGAATTTTATTTTATCTTAATTCCGAAGGAAATGAAAATTGTTGTTGTTGGCTTACTTGTATCTGAGGATCTTTGATAGCCTGAACACTGCTAAACGAGGCAGGGAAATAAAATGTCCTAGCCAATGCCATGTTATTTCGTTGCAGCACAAATTCCACAAAACTGTTGTAGTTGGTAAACTCTCCTTGAAAGATGTCATCCACGGGTATTACCTTGTCGTAGTGAACGCCATTTGGTACCTGGAATTGAGAAAGGAGTTACAATTATTTATAATTTACTAGCAAATGCCTGCTATTTCGTGTGCGAAATAAGGAATTTATGTTAAGAGCATTCTTTACCCCGCAATAGAATGTATTAAATAAGTATCTTCCACAAATACCAAATTCCCTATTCCCGGCGAAGTGCTTGCTTGAGGTGATCGACACTTTGGTATTTTTTGGTGCCAATCTTGCTTTCCAAAATACTCCAGACACAATAGTTCAACGGATTGGTATCCGGAGATTTTGGTAGCCATTTTGCGCTGGAAATGAAGGAATCCCTATTTGTAATCATTCTTAGGTGGCGCGATGGTGCGGAGTCCTGTTGGAATGTCCAAGGTCTCCGGCCAAAAATTTTACGTGCCCAAGGCTTTTAATACACCCTCCAGAATATTTTCGCGATAATATTCGGCATTTATTCTGATGCCACGGTCGATTAATACGAGCGGAGAGCGACCATCCGCTGTTATGGCGGCCCACACCATCACCATGGCCGCGCTTGAGTTCTGGTAGCCAACCGCAGGTACACATTTTCAGCTGACCTCTTTGGCAAGTAAACACGATTATTTTGTTTGTTTACAAACTGCTGGACAAGAAATGTTTTCTCATCGGAGAAACCCAAATTCCGCAGTTCACCACTTTCGGCCAAGCGAAGCGGAAATATCATAAAATTTTAGAATTGTTGGAATTGGTCACCTTTGGCACGAATTATGGACTTCAAACGTCAATGAAACCGTCACACGCCGTCCGAATGTTGCTCTGCGGTATTTTGTCCCATTCCCGGTGAAGCGCTTGCTTGAGGTGATCGACACTTTGGTATTTTTAGTGCCAATCTTGCTTTCCAAAATACTCCAGACACAAAAGTCCAACGGATTGGTATCCGGAGATTTTGATGGCCATTGTGTGCTGGAAATGAAGCGAGAAACCTCATATCGTAACCATTCTTGGGTGGCGCATGCAGAGTGCGATGGTACTGAGTCCTGTTGGAATATCCAAGGTCTGCGGCCAAAATGTTTGCGTTGCCAAAACTTTAATACACCCTCCAGAATATTTTCGCTATAATATTCGGCATTTATTCTGATGCCACGGTCGATTAATACGAGCGGGAAGCGACCATCGGCTGTTATGGCCGCCGAAACACCATCACCATGACCAGCGCTTGAGTTCTGGTGGCCAACCGAAGGTGCACATTTTCAGCTGACCTCTTTGGCATCGTTGCTTTTGTTTACAAACTGCTAGACAATGAATGTTTTCTCATCGGAGAAACCCAAATTCTGCAGTTCACCACTTTCGGCCAAGCCAAGCAACTCTTTAGCTCTCTTTGAGTCTATTTTCTTTCTGTTGCAGTGTAAGTGCTTGCACTTTTTGGAATTTCAATGGCCTTACCCCGAGCTCGTTTTTCAATATTTGCGGAATGGAATATTGCGATACGTTCAGCTCACGAGCCATTTTTCGGCTACTGCGTCGCTACCTTATTTTTCAATCCATTTCTGCTGATGTTCTTGTTTTCTTCCGTCCACTTCCTTTACGACTATTTAGCATTTTTGTACTTTTTAGGTACTAAGAATTCCCAAATCATCTCTCAAACAAATTTAAAGCACTATTCGACAAATTTAGTACCATATAGTACATTCCGTATAATTGTAAAACGTATTTCCAAAACCACCTTCTTATATCAACCCTATTTCCGCAGACTTAATTCTCATGTCATATTTCAAGTTTTTACCTATACTTGTTCTCAGTTCTCCCACCATTTAAATTATACCAAATTTAGTACCTTTTAGTACACATAAGTACGAATTTCCGAAATCTAAACTTATTCTAAAATGTGATGCTATTTCCGACATTTTTTGCTTTCATTCAATAAAATAAAAAAAAATTAAAAATTATAGCGCTTTTTATGACGCATTAGTACGAATTTCCAAAACTACCTACATATCCCAATCTTACACTGCGACATTAATATTATTTTTAGTTTTCAGGATACCAGCTCTATTGGTTCACCCAAATCCAAAGTGTGCCAAATTTAGTGCTATCCTATACTCCATCAGTAGTCTTAGTTCAAAATTTCAGGACTCCAGCTGTATGGGTTCAACCATATCCAAAGTGTACCAAATTTAGTACATATGAGTACAAATGTCCTACACTACCTACATATCACAATCCTAAACTCCGAGAGTATTTTATTTCCAATTTTCAGGATTTAATACCACCACTTTTCAAATACTACCTACATACCTCAGTCCTACAATGCAATAGTAATCTTATTTCCAAATATCAGGATTCCAATCTTACGGGTTGACCCAAAATTTCAATAGTACCAAATGTTGTACCATTTAGTACACATAGGTACGAATTTCAAAAAACTCCCTACATACCCTCAGTCCTAGAATGCAATAGTAATCTTATTTCTAAATTCCAGAATTTCAGCTATATTGATCCACCCAAATCGAAATTGTACCAAATTTAGTACCATTTAGTACACAAAAGTACAAACTTCGAAAACTTCCTCCATATCCCAATCCTACACTCCGCCAGTGATATTCATTTCAAATCTCAGAATTCCAACTTCATCCGTTCCTCCAAATTCAAATTTGTACTAAATTTAGTACGGTTTAGTTATTTTCCTATAAACGAGTACACACTTCCAAATCTACCACCTTATATTGATTTTACTCCACAACCTTAATTACCATTCCAAATTTGATTACCATTTTTTAGCTCTAACCGTCCACATAATACGAAATGTTTCCAAATGTAGTACATTTTAGTACTTTTCGTACACTGATAGTGATGATTTCCAAAAATCCCTTGGTACATCAATCATACACTTAATCAGTGACCCTCATTCCAAATTTAAGAGTTCTAACTTTACTGCTTCCTCAAATAAAAAAGGATATCATATTAAGTACCTTTTAATACTTTTCGTACCGTTTAGTACGCATTTCTAAAAACACAGCCTTATCCGAGCCCTTTGGACCACGAGTGATCCTCAGGAAAATTTTAAAAATTCTAGCTTTAGCCGTTTCGTCTAGGAGTTGATGAATCATTAAATAAGTCAGTCAATTATTTTTCTATTTTATTTATATAGATGTAGATTTCTAGATAGAATTAGATTATGGCGTCTTAAATGATAATTTCACAAAGTTACAAACATAATGACAACAAATCCATTTCATAACAAATTAATTACAACATGGCAACACTGATATTTATTTTGGTTTAGTTCTCTTTTTACTTCGGTCGGTTGTGGTCTATATTGTGCGTGTCCGCGTCTTGTGAATTGATTTCGATAGTTTGGTAAATGAATACTTGTGTTTTGTTAATAAAATATAAATTTAATGCGTTAATTAAATGAAATTCATAAAAAATTCCTTAAATATTGTCAAAATTGTCATAAATTTGTGCAAAAATTATTCTTGTGTATCGTCTTCTTCTCACGAGAGAGTGAATTGCATTTTTGCTTTGTTGTGTCTCTGCATAGACAAATGAAAATATAGACAACGAAAAGTTAGTTTTGTATTTTTTTCCAGGTGGCTCTCATCATGTTTTGCATAGTAAACATGCTGATTTACGCGTTCAACCCACTCGATTTCGAAAACACATTTTATGGTTTTTCAAGAATTTCACTGGAATATTCCCATATTTTTCGATGTCATCACGTACTTTTCACATTTCTTTTATTATGAAATAATTTTCAACTGGCAAATATCCTACAGTTTTTGTTATTTTTAACGTTTTAGAATTGAGTGACTTCAATATTCCCACTCAAACCCCTGAAACGATATGAACGACATCTGCTGATTCGATTTTTTTCGAAGATAAACGGTGAGAGCATTTCGTTGTCTATATTTTCATTTGTCTATGTTTTTGCTTTGATGCCTCTCTGCCGGTAACAAAATGTAAACAAACGTCGACGTCAACGTTCGGGATATTTCGCTGTCGCTGTGGAGTGTTGTTGTGAATGTGTATAGGAATGTGAGTAGTGGAATTTTAAGGTGAGTAACCTGGCTTGTTTTTGTGAGTCTTGTCTGATAGGACGACTGTCATATCTTGCAATTTTTGTCCTATTCTTTCTGTATTTTGTATGGGAAGTCTAAAAATAAAATGTATGTATGTAGATATTTTAATAAGAAAGCCAAAACATCATTGATAATGTAAAATTCGTATTTAAAAGGAAAGCATTGTAGTATTTTTGTCCAAATTTTACTCAAATGTATATTATGTCTGCAGGACTTTTGGTATTGAAAATGGGTCATGTAGGTCCACGTTTTGGTATATGTACCTCCATATTTTCGGTATTTTGGTGATTTAAGCGATATTTTTCACCGCGAATGTTTCAAACTTAGTATTGGAAGTTCGTAATGGATACTACAGTCAGTGATAGGAAATTGTCTTTGCAGATCCTCGTCATCGTATAGCCCCCATATAACGGTACCTCCCGATATTTGGTATTTTGATGATATTAGCGACATTATTCACCGGAATTGTGTAAAATTTGGTATTTTGGTTAGAACGGTAGAGATCGATCCATTCTCTCTGGTACCCTGCCACAAAGGGTCAAAATTTTGAATAACCAAAACGTTTATAAAATCCGAAATAAGCATCAGGTTCCTTTTATATATCAAACCTCCCTTTTTTCCATTAGCAAATGATCCGTTGTGAGGATGGGATATATCTACTTGCTACATTTCAATATTTCCATCAATGGACCATTCATTCTAGTACCTCCATTATGATGTCTTACTCCTTTGGAAGTCTGTTTTTTTATAAATCCTTCATGAAATAAAACCACAATTTATAGATACATAAATTCCTTATAGTAAAATATATTTTGTTCGATATTCAAGTTTTACAAAGTTCTTAACTCATTAACCTATTTTTTCCTTGGTGGCAACCAATTTAAAGCTTCATAAACTGATTAACTGTCATTATTTTAAAATCTTTGGCATTCAGTCGAACGCATTCCTTTGCCTCGAATTCGAGATGAAGAACACAACTCGATGAAGTCATCATAAAACCATTTTTCGAAAATTTATAATGCTTGATGTCGGGGTGATTTTCCAATATTAATTCTATGTAGACAAATATTGCCGGATATTTGGCGTTCAGTGTCAGACTGTAGCTGTTCATTTTGACGTTGACTTGGGAGCTGCAAAATACATTGGAAATAAGGATCTGAAAAAAGAAAGAATTTTATTTTATCTTAATTCCGAAGGAAATGAAAATTGTTGTTGTTGGCTTACTTGTATCTGAGGATCTTTGATAGCCTGAACACTGCTAAACGAGGCAGGGAAATAAAATGTCCTAGCCAATGCCATGTTATTTCGTTGCAGCACAAATTCCACAAAACTGTTGTAGTTGGTAAACTCTCCTTGAAAGATGTCATCCACGGGTATTACCTTGTCGTAGTGAACGCCATTTGGTACCTGGAATTGAGAAAGGAGTTACAATTATTTATAATTTACTAGCAAATGCCTGCTATTTCGTGTGCGAAATAAGGAATTTATGTTAAGAGCATTCTTTACCCCGCAATAGAATGTATTAAATAAGTATCTTCCACAAATACCAAATTCCCTATTCCCGGCGAAGTGCTTGCTTGAGGTGATCGACACTTTGGTATTTTTTGGTGCCAATCTTGCTTTCCAAAATACTCCAGACACAATAGTTCAACGGATTGGTATCCGGAGATTTTGGTAGCCATTTTGCGCTGGAAATGAAGGAATCCCTATTTGTAATCATTCTTAGGTGGCGCGATGGTGCGGAGTCCTGTTGGAATGTCCAAGGTCTCCGGCCAAAAATTTTACGTGCCCAAGGCTTTTAATACACCCTCCAGAATATTTTCGCGATAATATTCGGCATTTATTCTGATGCCACGGTCGATTAATACGAGCGGAGAGCGACCATCCGCTGTTATGGCGGCCCACACCATCACCATGGCCGCGCTTGAGTTCTGGTAGCCAACCGCAGGTACACATTTTCAGCTGACCTCTTTGGCAAGTAAACACGATTATTTTGTTTGTTTACAAACTGCTGGACAAGAAATGTTTTCTCATCGGAGAAACCCAAATTCCGCAGTTCACCACTTTCGGCCAAGCGAAGCGGAAATATCATAAAATTTTAGAATTGTTGGAATTGGTCACCTTTGGCACGAATTATGGACTTCAAACGTCAATGAAACCGTCACACGCCGTCCGAATGTTGCTCTGCGGTATTTTGTCCCATTCCCGGTGAAGCGCTTGCTTGAGGTGATCGACACTTTGGTATTTTTAGTGCCAATCTTGCTTTCCAAAATACTCCAGACACAAAAGTCCAACGGATTGGTATCCGGAGATTTTGATGGCCATTGTGTGCTGGAAATGAAGCGAGAAACCTCATATCGTAACCATTCTTGGGTGGCGCATGCAGAGTGCGATGGTACTGAGTCCTGTTGGAATATCCAAGGTCTGCGGCCAAAATGTTTGCGTTGCCAAAACTTTAATACACCCTCCAGAATATTTTCGCTATAATATTCGGCATTTATTCTGATGCCACGGTCGATTAATACGAGCGGGAAGCGACCATCGGCTGTTATGGCCGCCGAAACACCATCACCATGACCAGCGCTTGAGTTCTGGTGGCCAACCGAAGGTGCACATTTTCAGCTGACCTCTTTGGCATCGTTGCTTTTGTTTACAAACTGCTAGACAATGAATGTTTTCTCATCGGAGAAACCCAAATTCTGCAGTTCACCACTTTCGGCCAAGCCAAGCAACTCTTTAGCTCTCTTTGAGTCTATTTTCTTTCTGTTGCAGTGTAAGTGCTTGCACTTTTTGGAATTTCAATGGCCTTACCCCGAGCTCGTTTTTCAATATTTGCGGAATGGAATATTGCGATACGTTCAGCTCACGAGCCATTTTTCGGCTACTGCGTCGCTACCTTATTTTTCAAACCATTTCTGCTGATGTTCTTGTTTTCTTCCGTCCACTTCCTTTACGACTATTTAGCATTTTTGTACTTTTTAGGTACTAAGAATTCCCAAATCATCTCTCAAACAAATTTAAAGCACTATTCGACAAATTTAGTACCATATAGTACATTCCGTATAATTGTAAAACGTATTTCCAAAACCACCTTCTTATATCAACCCTATTTCCGCAGACTTAATTCTCATGTCATATTTCAAGTTTTTACCTATACTTGTTCTCAGTTCTCCCACCATTTAAATTATACCAAATTTAGTACCTTTTAGTACACATAAGTACGAATTTCCGAAACTATGTACATACCTCAGTCCTAAATGCAATACTAATCGGTTCGCCCAAATGGAAATTGTACCAAATTTAGTACCAATTCCCAATTTCAGAATTGCACCCCTATCGGTTCGCCCAAATACATATTGAAGCATATATGGTACTATTTAATACATATCCCAATCCTACACTTCAACAGTCATCCTAATTCCAAATTTCAGGATTCTATCCCTATCGGTTCGCACAAATCCAAACTGTACTAAAAAAATTGTTACAAATTTCCAAATTTCCCACACCAATTCTACACTCAAAATTTCCAGAACTGCCTCCATACCTCAATCGTACAATCCTATAGAAATCTTATTTTCAAATTGCCGAATTCCAGATCTATCGGTTCATCACAAATACAAGTTATACAATTTTTAGTACCATTTAGTACTCCGATATACAAATTTTCAAAAATACCTACACATCCCAATCCT